GTCTCAAAACAAGATCAAAAAGACTTTTTGGCTGGATGTAAGGTTTTAAAACTTGGTAAGATGGACAGTTTTTGCAGTGTAGGCTTTTTGCCTTCTGTAGTGCTGCTTAAAAAAACAAGACAAATTAAGGTTTTAAGGTTTTAATTGATTTCTTTCCAGTTGGACCCAGAGAACACCGGCTTCATCCCAGTGGAGAACTTCACCAGTCTGGTGGAGCACCATGAGCTGCAGTTGGACCCATCCAAGTTGGACATGTTGTTAGCTCTTGTCCAGAGCAATGAAGAGGGACAGGTGTGCTACCAGGAGCTCATCGAGCTGGTGAGTGGCTACCAAACATAAGACGCGCACACACAACATGAAACGCTTGGCTATCTGCACGACCGTCCACGCACCACAAGGTTGGTGTTTGACTTCAGAAAAGCYACCAAATCGATTCAGGCAGAGGCAGCGAGCGCTGCAGTGGCACAACATCGACTGGATCATTTAGGTCCTGCAAAAGAAGGATCAATCTTTTCCAGTTAGCTCGTCTGTAAATCCAGACACTTAAGCACCACAAAACACCCACACCACACTGAGACTTGAAACATTATTCAAGCATACATTTTTCTTTTAACCCTAAATAATCAAGTACTATAAAGTTTTGAGGGAAACAAAATTATTATATTCAACACCATTTCTAAAAAGGTTTTTATCAMAAACATAGTAAATGTTAATTGACATGTCACATTTATAAATCCTTCTTTTTCACATTTAAATCATTCAGTTGTGGTCTATATAAAATGGAACTGTAATGCTTTGGGCTGCTTTCCTCTTTATTGTAGCTCCACAAGCCCCTCTTTCATCTCTTTTCTGAGCCTTGTCTCAGATCAACTCATTTTGAAACTGTCTCTTTAAATGCAAATGATGCGCTGCACACCCCGCCCCCCTCCAGCTTTCAGACTGATCTATTCCAGTTTGATAGAGGGGTTTACGACTATATAGCGGCACAGAAACCTTTTATTTACAAATGAATTAAAAGACGTCAACAAAGACTTGTCCATCCAGCCTCACATGTTGGAGCCAGAGCCTGACCCAGAACCAGAGGAGAACGAAGACTGCCAAATCGTAGTTCCACACCATATTTGGCAGTTGCATTACAAATAATTTGATGTAATAGTTCARAACGCATCATAGAAAATAGAGAAAAATAAATGGGTTGAAAGGTATGACTCAAACAAAATATATCTGAGCAGCACAGGGAGACACTAAATTCAAACTTTTTGAGACTTTAAGTACACACCAAAATGCATTTAACAGTTAAAAAAGTGGATTTTGAGATGTCTCCTTTAAATTAAGCTGCCCATGTCATAGGCACTAATGCWCCTCCATACCATCAGAGAGACAAGCTTTTGAACTGTGTACTGATAGCAGACTGGATTGTCCTCCTTCTCTTGGATATTGAATCCATGGTCTTCAAAACTAATAAAAATGCTTCGTCTGACCACAGAACTGAGAGATTCAGATTCTCTAATGCTCTTTATACTCAGTCCTCTTACTGAACTTTAGCCAATTAGCCTAACTAGCTGCAAAATGTTCCTCCAAATGTTTCTTACWTGTATTACTTTCTTTTTTTAGATGTGCTGCTGTCATCAAATTCAAAATTACCCCATTTTTGCCTTAAATGCTAGTGTTAAATATTTGATATGTTTACTATGTTACTTATTTCTTACTTATTTATGAGATTTGCAACGTCCCAACATTTTCAGCATTGGGGTCATAGATAGGCTGTGTTTTTTTTTTTACAAGGTTCTGTCTTTTTGGCTACAGATGTCTTGGTTTTGATGCAACAGTTGTCGCCTTAGTTTCTTATAATGTGCCTCTTTTCATTCATTTTATGCATCTTCACCTGTCTGTGTTTACCACTGCRCTCCCATTAGAAATTCATGTCGACATTTCCATGTGAAATCCAGATTCTCTCTGAGCACCTGCCTTTTGCTCCCGGCRCCATCCAAGATTAAACGCTGAAATTCATTCATCGCAGAGCACTTCTTGGCATATTTTCACCTCTTTATGCCCCTGCCTCCTCCTTTCTTGTGCATTCTCTCTTTTTATACATACCTTTTTTCTTCTTCTTTTCTGTGTTTTGGCTGCTTATTCTTTGTAATGAGGGCAATAGGAGGCCACTCGGTTTGCAGCTGGTCTTATTTCCAAAGTCTGAGCCATTGCAGAGATGCAACATTCAGATGGGCTGTTCCTCCCTCCTTTAKAAAACCAGCACTTCTTCCCTTTGCRACTCCTGAAGTGTGTTTTTGATCCAGCTCATTTAGCCACATAGCATTGCATGCTTCTATTTTAAACTTGCATCTCATTTCCTTTCCTTTGGCTTCACTTCTATCAATATCAGGGAGACAGTTTTAAARTTGCTCATCAGCCAAAATGTAAATTGTCTTCGATTAGCTCAGCGTTGGTAATAGCAGGCAGTAACCTGAGGTAATTTAGGAATGCACGGGCTGAYATTGACCCCCTGGACTGACTGACGTTTAACGATTTATCTGATAGAAACATATAAAAGCATCAAAAAACATACTTGTGCCRCTCTGCATACAATTTGCATGTAAACAAACACGTTTCAGGAGGTTTATAAGTAATTAAAGCTGCTTCCACTTACTTCCTCAAAGTGTGTCTCAATACCTCCCATCTCCTCGATTCACACAGACGGTTTCGAACAGGCTCTCATTCATGCACACAAGTGCCGCCGGAGCAGATTTGCTGAGTTATTTAGAGGATATTCAAATGYCGATGTGAATCTGGTCCTCTGCCGCACAGCATGGGTTGTGTGAGCTTTAGATCTATCCTGCCTACATGCAATCAAAGGTATTTTTTGTTGTTATTGACATAAATATATTTATATATTTTTATATTGTGAGAACCTGTCTTACATTGTTGCTTCTTTTTTTGCTATTTGCACTAGCGATCTTTTTTTTTTTTAGCAATCTTTTTCTTAATAGGGGAATTATTTTATTATTTTTACTCTTGCATTTTTTTATTTAGTTGTAATTAGTTAATACAAAACATTTTTACTTGTCTAAAATTTTTGTCCTGTGCTTTACCATAATTGACTAAGTAAAGGCAAAATTGCATAATTATTCAATTAACTTGACAAGTTTCGGTATCTGAATCGGTGATACTAGCCCTCTTTTCACTTGGTGTTGGATCGACACAAAAATTCCTAGTATCACTCCTCGCTAACAAGCTTTGCAGGACTCTCTTCACCATGTGGAAAAATCCAACTTCTGTCCCTTCTTCTGTTTTCCTTTCACCTTTCTGTGTTTTATCATTTTCATCACATTCCCACGGTTTATTTCACTTCATGTTTTCACTCTCTGAAAAGTGTGTTTGTTGCTTGTAGTTTATTCATCARATTTTCCAAAGCAGGGTTCTATGAACAACGTTATGAACAAATAACATCTTACRTGTTGTGGATAGCTCTTTGARCAACTGCAGTTTGGTGAAATTGTGTTTATTTTTTATCAGATTGTCTGAGTGCTGTGTGYAGAAAATACAGAAACTGGAGAGTTTATAGTGGCTGGAACTATTCCTAAAGATATTGGCAATGGTTGCACTCAAACTCTACTCTGCATAACTTGGAACATTAAAGCTTTTTTATTTACGGCAAAATCATTGGCTCTAAATGACACGTGTCGACTCCCTCTAAATAAAACAAATACTGTATATCCATGGTGAAAAATGAAAACGTGATGCTCACACATGGGAAAAAGAATTCAGTATGAAAAYTGAGGATATAGAGTGACAAAACTTGTAAAATCCACCAGACAACTAGCTCTCGGATGTGGAGAGAGTTTGCGTGGAAGAACCCTATAAAGTTTTTTACWGYACCAAAATTTAAAAGATAAGACAGCAGAACTGTTGGAGAGGTTTTGGAAATGTAGATGTGGATCATTCACACATACAGTATTCTGGAAATGCCCAAAAATATATATCTTGTGAGAAATGATCTATGATGTCTTGAGTACTGTTTTAGTATACGAAGTTCCACTGAGACCACAGTACTAAGGTAAACTTTCACAGGGAACTATCCAAGATTGTTACAAAGATTCAGTAAAAAAATACTGCTGGTAGCAGCAAAGAAGGTAATAACAAAGAACAGAAGGAAAGAGGAAACATCATCGAGGAGCCAAAGGACTGCAATARTGGAAGACATATTTATAATGGAAAAATTGACACAGGTTGAAACTACAAGAATCGCAAATGGACAGAAAACGGGAAAAATGAACAATCTACAAAGGAAATTATAATGTACACATACTATACTAAATGTAAAGTATTACACTCAGTGTTCTGTATTAAACACAATGTAAAAATCAATTAAAAATATGAAGAAATTTAAAGTTATTAGAGGTTAGTACTGATGTTAAAAGCACAACACTATGTTCTTTGGTTTTCCTTTTTGTAATGTTGACAGTGTTTAATCTATTATGTTTTGATTGATATAGATCAGTTACATGTCCGAAATAGGTGACAACACATAATCAACCGTTATGATAAGAGTAGATGAGAATTTTGTCTGAATGCCTGTGATTCAGCCGTAGGTCAGTAGGGGGTGAACGCAGGCACTGAAGAAGGTGTATAAATACATGAACTTCCTGGTTTTCCAGTAGTGTTGGTTTCCTGTCAGCTTGAGTGACAATAAGGCCTCACTCAGATCCAGAATTCTGGTGTTGTATGGTTTGATTCCTTCAACAAATCATTTTATTTAACAATGGTGTTTTTAATATCAACTTCAGTTTATTGAATACAAATTTTCTTACAAATAAGTTAAAAAAAGAAAAGAAAACATTATACTCAAGGAGTTCAGGTCGTGATTTCCGGTTCCACCAGAAGGTTCCAAATGGTGAAGCAGGGACTCGCTTCAGTTTCTAAGTGGGAGGTTTTGGGTGTGGGCACAGTTTGGGTAAGCTGTGATTGGTCGGATTGACTTGGGGGCGTTAAAAGATGAAGTAATCATAATAGTAAAATTATTGTGTATCTGTAAATACAATTTATTGACTGTCTGTTTGGTGCAGCTAGTACATTCCTGTCTAAATTTATGGTTTAATATTCACATTAAAAATAATTGCTTGGACTGAGCAGACTTCTACTTGTAATGTGCATTAACAAAATATAAAACTTGTCTTTGCTTCAACCATTAAAATAAAAAGCTTTTTTTTAATTTTGCAATTGTCATTTTTCAAATTTAGTTTTAAAACAAATAAAAACTTTAAAAAAACACTCAATTATTCGTTCTTTTTAATTTTATTCTGAAATGGAAAAAACTAAGT